AGGAGCCACAGCCACTGGAGCCACCACAGCAGGGGCTGCAGCAGCTGGGGCGGCAGCAGGTGGTCCTGCAGCAGGTGGTCTGGCAGCACCTGGGCTGGCAGCAGCCATAGCCCTGGCCAGAGCAGCAGGAGCCACAACAGGAGTTGCACATGGTGTCAGAGACTGGAGGTTCTGGGGGTGTTTCCAGGAAGGTGGGTTTCAAAGGTTTGGAGGTCTCTCTGACCCACGTCCCCTTTTATACCCTGCAAAGGGGCTGCTGTCTTCATATGCAACACCCTTTCCTTGTCATTGTTTGTATTAGTAAATAGGCAATTATCAAATCAGGCCCATTTATTTTTGGTTTTAATTTCCAGTTGCATGGACAATGTGTGATCCTTTCCCATTGTGATTGGATTCATTTGTCAGCTCTTCTTCCTTAATCATCTCTGAAGTGTTTTTCTAGCTCTCCTTCCTCAAATGGAGGTGTCCACATGACATTCTGCCTCTTCCTGGTGGTCTTCAGTGTCAGTGTGCAGAGTATATCATATATATCATGTCTGTCTTGGGAAGGATTGATTTTGGGATCTCATAATTCTTCCTGGGCACAGAAAAAGATAAGGCTTCCTTGTTTTCTGATGCATCATTCTTGTGGGCCTTCTGGGGAAAGAAGTTTTGAATGTGCAACATAGATCATGTGTGAGAGCAGGCAGGCCATTAGGACATGTTTCCTGTTCCATACTCTAAATCTTGATGTCCACCTTGAAATTTAATTGAACACAAAGAGATTTGTCAGGCAGAAATGATGTGGCGAAACTGGGTGTTTTTCTTTTTTTGTGAGAAAAAATCTAAAAGTAAACTTGGGCTATGCTTTTTATGTATTCATTTATTTATTTTAAAAATTTTTAAATGAACACTAAGTTTTAATTTTTTTCTTTTTAGATACACATGACAGTATAGCGTTTTGACATCCATGGAGTACAACTTCCCATTTTTGTGATTGTACATAATGTGAACTTACACTCTGGCTGTGTAAGTTATATGAGCAAAGGAATATTATATCAGATTCATTCTACTGTCTTTCCAATACTCATCTGCCTTCCCTTCCCTTCATTCTCCTTTGTCTGATACAATGAACTTCTATTCTCTCTCTCCCGCTACCCGCTTTTTGTGTGTTAGTATCCACATATCAAAGAGAACATTGGACCTTTTGTTTTCTGGGATTGGCTTATTTCACTTAGCACGATAACCTCCAGTTGCATTCATTTATCAGCAAATGCCATAATTTCATTCATTTTTATGGCTGAGTAATATTGAATTGTGTTTGTATACCACTTTTTTTTTTCCATTCATCTAAACCACTGAGGTTCCTCATTCCCCACATAACTCCAACCTGCCATTTACTGTCTCCACTGACTACTAGACTCTGAAGAGGCCGGTGTATTCTCTTTTTCATTGTTGTGGTTATTAATCTGATTTCACCATATACGTTTTATGTTCTAAGAATGCAAAAATCAAACAACCAACCCAAAACCAAAAGGAAATCAGAATGAAAAAAAGTAAACAGAAATCTTGATAATTGGAATCAGCTGACATATATTCAGATTGAGGATGAAGTCAACATGCAAAGGTCACCAAATTCCAATGTGAAAAGCCATTGACTACTGTTCCTAAAAATGAGGAATGCTGCCAGTCCATTAGTTGGTCTCCTGTGTGTCAAGAAACAGGAAGGAAGAAACTATTTGGCCTCTCTATGATGGCATCTTTCAGTGTCTTCATCATTTTTTTTTAAATTACAGTCCTAAAGAATATGGATCCTTGTAATATTCCCATCAGTTTAGCTTGCTTAGCATACACCTGATTTCAGTGTTCTTATTTTTAAGGCATGTGTTGTTAAGATGGGAGAATATGATTATTTAAATAATTCTGTGTTCAGAGGTATTTCACTGGATTTGCTGTGCAAGAAAGACAGAGGGGAAAATAAGAGATGAAAATCTTTTTGATTATTAGGGAGATGTTTCTACATGTATTTAGGGAGTTTGACAGAACTATTTCAGCCTAGTGTACAAGCTAGAGTATGCTATCCTCATAGAACAAAGTCTGAACAATCACTGCCCCCAAACCAGTGGTTCTCAATATTGTCTTCGATTGGAATTCCTGTGGGGAGTATTAAAACTGCCGGTGCCTGGCTCCTGCCCAGAACAGCATTGATGTCATTACCCTGGGGTGGGACTTGGTCATGCTTCTCAGGTTATCCTGATACGAAGCAAATCTGAGATCCTTTTCATTACATTGTCCCTATGATGTATATTGGTGTCAATTCCAATTAAGAATAGAAGTCACCCAGATCATTAAATTTCAACGGATGCTTTCTAAATAATAGAGAAAATATCCTGAATGGGGAACACTGAAGTTTGAACAATGTAAACTGAAAAACTGATTCTCCTCTTCAGTGTTTTGGATCATTCTTGTACTCACATGGATGAGATAGACCACAAGAGCATGAAGAAAAATGAGAAATCACTGTTTAGCACCTGCACTATGAAGGACAAAACTCAAAGGAGAGATCCCACTGAATGTACTCCTTGGCAAATTTTACCTAGGAAATACAGTGGCTAAATTAATTCTGAATCATACTCACAAATTACCTAAGTTCTGCATAGTGTTCACTTTTGCTATGATCTGAAGTAGTGCATGAATGTGATATTTTCCCACTAAACAGTTTTCTTTGTCTTTTTTTCCAAATGGCACAAGATAAAATAATCCAGTTAATTAAACACCAAGGAGATTTGAATGAGGTGGACTCAATTGACATTTGTAAGATCCATCCAGGAATTTGGTTATGCCTATGAGCAGCCTGGACACATCATATCCTTTATGGCATAAGGGAACATACTTTTCTTTTCAGGTGTCACTTACATGATGTTAGTGCACAACCTTTTATAAACAAATACATCCTATGCACTGTGTTCCCAGCTACATGGTAGGACAATTATTTTAATTACAGTGTATTAGTAACAACATTGTAATTGTGTAAGTCTGCCTTTCACCATTGTGACCAAAATGTGTAACAAGAATTACTTAATAGAGGAAAGATTTATTTTTGGCTCATAATAGCAGAGTTTTAGTTCATACTGGACAGAAACACTGCATTGGACCCAAAACATGGCAGAAGGGCATGGTGAAGATGCCTTGGTCCATTAATCACAGCCAGGATGCAAAGAGGGGGAAGGGGCCACATGGAAAAGGCATCATTCCCTGTGACCCACCTCCCCCAGTCATGCTCCGTCTGCCTGCAGTTATCACTCAATTCTTTAAAAGTAGGATGGATTCTTTAGGTTTTAGCCCCCTCTACCCAATTATTTAATCTGTGAACAATTTTACCTAAACACAGGAGCTTTCGGGAGTTTATATCCAACCCATAACCATGCTCTAAATGGAGACACCTACAAGAACCATGTAGGTTGATAGGGAAATTAATGTACTTTTAATTCAGCTCAGTTATTATTAATTATAATGAAAATCATGTTGCTTTCAAATAATTAAGAACACGTATTAAGCAGTATTACCAGTTTGGGTATGAAGTCGTACATGTCATCAGAGTAGTATCTAAAGTAATAAAAGTTTCTGCCTAGCATTGATTAGATTTTTATTTTTCCTTGACATATCTTCATTCATTTCTTATCTAAATTTGTATTTTATTTTTTGAAGGCATATTTCCATTCACCTGAATTCTTAGGAAAACTTTTCTCAGCCTCAAGGTCACGTGCCTGCAATGCCATACACTGAGAAGGCTGAGGCAAGAGGATCCCAAGTGTGGGGTCAGCCTGGACACGTGAGTAAGATTCTATATCAAAATACAAATAACATGAGCTTGTGATTTAGCTCAGTTTTAAAGCATCCCTGGATAATATGCCCAACACCAGAGAAAGCAGTAACAACAAAATGATTTTTAAAATTCCACAGTTTTTTATTATGGAAATTGCATTTGTGGTTAAGTGTGTACAAGGTATATCTGTATAGTGTTAAAAATAATTATCAGGTAAGTATACACAGGCACAAAGCTCAAGTCCAGGAAGAGACTGTTGGCATCATCAAGGACTCTTGTATGTCTTTTTCTGACTCCGCCTCCCTCCCTCCACCACGGAGAATTGCTATCCTGATTTTTCTTTGTACTTTATCCAGCGATATATACATTTCTAAACTATGCAGTTTAGCTATACATGCCTTTAAATTTTATATAAATAGAATCTCACTATATGTCTTCTTTTTCTTCTAAGATTAAACATTTCCACATTTTTTTATAGTCATAACAATGATGGTATTTGTCATTACATATTCATACAGGCACACATGGTAACAGTATAATTTCACTTTGACTTTTTGTGATTGGTTTATTTCACTTAGCATGGTAGTCTGCAGCTTCACCCATTAACCAGCAAATCACATAATGTCATTTTTCTTTATGGCTGAGTAATACTCCATTGTGTATATTTACTACTTTATGTTTATCTTTTCATCTGTTAAAGGGTACCTAAGTTGACTCTATTGCTTGGCTGTTGTGAATTGTGGTGCTATAAATATTGATGTGGCTGCATTACTGTAGTGTGCTGATTTGAAAACTTTTGGGTATATACTGTGCAGTGGGATAGCTTGGGCATATGGTAGGTCCATTTCTATGTTTTTCAGGAATCTCCATACTGCTTTCCAGAGTGGTTGCACTAATTTGCAGTCCCACCAACTATGTGTGAGTGTATCATTTCTACCACATCCTTGCAACATTTATTACTATTTGTATTCTTGACAATTATCATTCTGACTGGAGTGAGATGAAATCTCAATGTAGTTTTGATTTGCATTTTCTTAATTGTTAGAGATGATGAACAATATTTCATGTGTTTATTAACTATTTATATTTCTTTTTGAGAACTGCAAGATACTTATCCAGAAAAGGCAGATACTTACCCAGACTAAATGCCAACTCCAGTCAGAAAACAAATAACTGGCTGATGTCCTCAGGCTTGGTACCCTATAGGACCTCTGTGTTAGATTCTAGAGGGATAGTGTTTTAGTCAACTTTTTCACTGTTCTAAGCAAAAGACCTGACAGAACCATTGTAGAAGAGAGAAGGTTTATTTGGCACTCAGGGACTCAGAAGTCTCAGTCCATAGATGGCTGACACTGTTGCTCTGGGCCCAAGATGAGACACAACA